AGTAACATTGGTAAGGAAGGAGGCGTGAACTTCTGGTTAAATGCTCTCGCGCGGTGCTCCATGATAAGAGCGTAAGGGAGAACCTAAGTTATCTAAAAAAAAATAAAATGAAGAACTAATTAAAAAGCTATAAAAGTATTTGAACCGTTAAAAATTGTGCATAATTAAAGACGATGACCCAATTGAAAAAAAGAGCTTTTCATAAATTGCCAATTTAGCAATATAACTTGACAGTTGTGATAATTTGTATTTTTCAGTCAAAAGCTATATATGTCGCCGAAAATTCAAGTATATTCAAACTGAGAAATTTTCTTCCTATTTCCTTAATTGGCAAGTAATTGGCACCTATAGTTTAAAAAATACACCTTATATTATTCTTACATTACTTGTATTGGTTGAACACGATAAAACTCAATACCCTTTTATTGGTAATTACCTAAAAACTACTAAACAGATTTTTCGTAATTTTTTGATACAATGAAGCTAATCAAATTATTTATTTCAATAATGTTTTACTATCTTTATTAGACGCTTAGATAGAAACCAATTATTTTTGCGAGTGCTTGACGTCATGCTGCGAGTGCCTGACGTCATGTTGCGAGTACTTGACATAATCTGTTGGATCTTGCTTTATAGTAATAAATAGTAATATTTATTGTTGTAACAATTACAATTTTTCTAAATGTAGTATAATATTCAAAAAATAAATAAGTAGTGGAACAGGAAGCCGACACAATTTAAAACACAAGTTATCAAAAATATTTATCATTTTCATATTGAAAACATTTAACAATCTTGCTTCTATGATTTTATTTGGCAACAAATTCCAATTATTATTAATTCGGTTGCTGAAGGAATTATTCCTTTATAAACTTGATGGTACGTATTCTATTTCTAAACTGGATATGTTGCCCCGAACTGAGGAAGCCAACTTGCTTGATCTTTATTTTGCTTAAAACTGTATTGTTGTATAAGATCTCCTCTCGGTCTTCTTTTCTCTAATGCTGTTAAACCCATTGCTTTTAGTCTTTTTTCATATGAAACTTTTTTAAGTTGCGAGGCTAAATTTGTAGCTCTTCTCTACAATTTTTCTAACTCATTAATATTCCATTGTAAATAAGACTTCCATACAGGTATAGCAAACTCAAGAAATGGTATCACAAATGTCGTATATAGTGAATTCTTCGTTTCTACATCAAAGTGTGTAAATGTATGTTCAATTAGACCCAAATTTCTTTACGCTTTTGCCGTCGCTGAAGTCACTTGATCACACCATTTAAGGTAGGATGAAATAATCACGCCTAAATCTCTTTCACTTGTTGTTGTATTCAATGTATGCTCTTCGCCGTCATACTATGACTCATTCATAGATTTATACCTACATGCATCACATTGCACTTTTCAAAGTTTAACTTGAAAACTTACAAATTCATTGATGTCATTATGCAAAGACTCGTGCTCCTCAACATTTTTTATAACTTTGATTAGATTAATGTCACTTATAATTGATGATAAATAGTTTACAAATATTAAAAAAAAAGTAGCAAAAATAGAGTCCTGAGGCACACCTCTATAATTTTATACCACGATGACACCTATTTACCCGTCGCAACTTTTTGCACTCTTTCTTTTCAAAAAGACAGTATCCAATCAAATAGTAAACACTTGATAACATAAGCTTCATACTTTTTTAACAATCGTTTATGTGGAATTTTATTAAAGACTTCGGCAAAATTCATATAAGTTTGTTAAAATCCTTTATCTGAAACTTTTTTTTTATCTAAAGCTTAAAATGTAAACAAGTTTTTTTAATAAGGTTTTATAATTGACCAATAACTTTCAATAACTCGCTGCTTATTATAATTTCGAGGATTTGCTTCATTTGGTACAAATTCAAAGCCATTTTGTTCACAACATTCTAGATACTTCTTGGAGTAGTAGATTGTATCTAAATGAGATCAAAATAATGTGGACATATAATGCTTTTTAATAAACGATAAAAGGCGTTTCTTTAAGTACTTTTTTATAAACAAACACGCGTTTTAAAATTTACGAGTAAACGAGTAATTTACAAGTAAGATGTGGTTTTTGAACTGTCGGAGCAGATTATTTTTGATATAAGGAACTTGTTTGATATATCGCATAAATTTTTTTTTTTGACAACATATTAACCTTTTGAATGATAAGAATATTGCTGGCCTGGCAATTGTAAAATATTCTTCTTGCAAACGGTTCATCGTCTTCATTTACAAACAAATTTTATCATTTTAAAAATTTATATAGCTTTTTTGATCAAAACATTGCTTTAATTTCTTTATCACTGGATCTTATTCGAGTTTTCTTTTATAATATACTCTATATTGCTGAAATCTAAGTACTTTTCTTACCAAAGCTTGGGTGCCTTTAAACTTTCCCGCAAGATCTCTCTGCAACTGACACGGATTTATGTCTTTATGGAGTAATGGAGTCTTTATGGAGTAAATAAAATTTTTTTTTTATAATAATCTTTAGGTTCTTTCTTTTTTCAACTTTCAGCCTCTCTTTCAACAGATGAGTCTGTTTATTGTCGAAAATTAAATCCAACTGAGGATCGATAAACACGACTGAGTTTTGAAGAGAAATTTCCTTGTTTATTCTTTGTTAGAAATTATTTTTTTACTCTTTTTAATCCAATAATAACCGATACTTATTACCTTTAAAATCAAAAACCAAAAAGTTATAAAATACTTGTTGAATAGTATTTGAGTACTTAAATATTAAAGGATACTAAACTTCATCGTGTTCAACCAATAGATGAGAGTGAAAAATAGTTTAGACGCTTATTAAACTTATAAATACATTTATTATTTATAATAAAATAAACAATAAATATATAAATATGTTTCGTAGTTGATATAGTGACGGATTTTAGTTTACATTTCGCTCAATCTGCTTATTTTAATGTTAAGTTTTGAAGATGCGATGCTAAAGATAAATTAAAGTCTATCATGATTCCAATATATCTTATCAAGTTAACAAGATTATATCGCGCATTATATGGAAGTGGTGATCTACATTAATGCCCTTTGTGACAATCGTGCATCTAAAGTGACTCTATTTGCTGAAGACTCAACTTTATATTCTTGTCTTGACAAAAAGTCTTCTCTGTTTTATTGTTTTGAGCAAGAAGCCGATTTTGAGTTTAAACTCTCTTCTGCTTTTGATTGAGCTTACAGTAATTTGTAAATTTTAACTCCAGGAAAACTCTATTTGATGCAAGCATCGATCAAATATTGATGAAATTTCTATGTTTGTAGCAATCTTTTTGCTGAATCCCTTTTTATACGTTTTCTTAGATTATTTTTCACCACTGACTTTTACATTGAAACCTTATATATATAATTCATTGCAAATTTATCATCTTCATTTTTTTCTTAATTCAATTTTCTACCCATATAAATTTCTTATTTGTCTTGGTATGGAAAAATGTTTTCATTTTTTGGCAACCTAACTTAAGCAACAAAATTCCTGGGCACTCGTTTAAAATACTTGATCTCTCCCCAGACCCTCATAAAAAAATTACTTTATGTTTTTGGAATTAGGAAGAGTTTTTTAATGATAAACAACAAAATAAAATATTTAATGTGTTGCCAAGTAATGCAAGTTTTTTTTTTTTAACTTAAAAAAATTTTCTTTAGCATATTAGTTAGAGATGTGCCAGAACCAGTTTATGCCGAGTCTCCGATTTCGGGTACTCGGCAAGGAGTCCATTTTTTAAAAGCTGGAATAAAAACTTGTAAAATCTCTACCGCTAAATTATTCGCACAAAATACGCTTTTTACGCTAACTAACCAAAAGTTATGTGGCGGAAGTACCATTTAGCAAAATCCCACAATGCAGGGTTAGGGGCCTGAGTTGTAGGGCCTAACTTTTTCAAAAGTTGCGCAACAGTTTTTTAATATCTACATTTATTTTTCTTTCCTGGTGCAGCGGGCCTAAATAATATTTTGTTGAGAAGGGAGCAAAATTTGAAGTTCCGTCATTAAAAGTTTTATTATGGGAAGCAAAAGATTAAGAAATTTAAAGAATTGCAAAAAAAAGGTAGACCTTCTCGACTGTAGACCTTCTCCACTGTAGAGTGATTAAAATAAAACAAATTTAAACAAATAAAAAGAACTTTAACAACACTTGCTGTATCTTATTTTAATTGTTTTATTAACTTTTGATTGTAATGCGCAAACATTAGGTATTCTCCGTTATCTGCTTTTAATCTGCTCCTTGTTGCTTCGTATATGTCCTCACCAGCACTAAATAACCTTTTACTTTCTATTGATGACGGAGGTGCTGTAAGATATTTTAATGCCATCTTTTTTAGTTTTTCAAATTGCGTTCCACATTTATTCCACCACAAAAACGGATAACCTTTATTTTCTAAAAGAGGCAGAGATAAATAGATGTCTATTTCTTGAGTAATTGCAGACCTTAATATTGTTTGCTTCTTAATTATGTCAGTGGTAACAACTTCAATATCTACTATTTCTCTTTCTGCCACGGAACGTCTTTCACTCTGCTTTCTTCCGATTCTCATAGAAGCTACATCTTTAAAACAATCATCAATGCTATGGAATCCATTAGATGCTGGAGCTTTTACTATTGGAGCATCGTCAGAGTCAGAGTCAACAACATCTTGCGCTCCTTGCATTTCTTTCTATGCTTCTTCAACCCACTCCTTTATAACTTTTTCATCTGCATGTTGATAAAGTAATTTATATTGTGGATCCAAAAATGTTGATCACAAAACATTTTATTAAGCAAAAATTTATCAAGTCTTTTAGTAACAGATTTTATTAGTTCATCAATCATCGTCATAATCCCAGCGTTTATATCACTTGATGAAGCTTTTTGTAATAAAACTTTTAATGCAAGAACAGATGGTATAATTTGTGCGCAAGTTTTGTCCCTCCTACCACATTCTTTTGTTAAGTTTTCAAATGGAGCAAGAACGTTAACAAGTTTTTCGACTATTCCCCATTGATAATTAGTAGTAAGTTTAATTTTATCATGTATTTTGCTGCATAGATGGCCAAAGGAACTTTTTGTTCAAACGTCCTTTGTAGCATTTCAAATGAACTGTTCCAGCGAGTTGGAACATCTTGTTTCATTTTGTGAGGTACAGTACTTAACTGCTGCTGAATTAATTTTAATTTTGCACATGCTATTGGCGAATGATTAAAATGTGTTGTTATTCCTCTGCATAAAGTTAAAATTTCATTTATGGTTTCTTGGCTAAATATAGAGTCATGAATACATAGCTGAAAAGTATGGATAAAGCATGGAATTGATGACATTCCACTGTTTTTTACTGCAGCCTTCATATTGCTTGCATTATCGGTAACAATAAGATGAATATTGCTTAAGGGGATTTCAAAAGTTTCTAAACCTTTTTGTAAATACTTTTTTATATGAACACCTGTGTGCTTTTCCGGAAAATGAATTACTCGAAGAACAGCAGTTTCTTGGAAAAATTTAGTTTGATCTATCCAATGTCCAGTAATGCTTAAAAGTGCAATTTTTGCAGTATCCGCTGTTTAAATATCTGTCGTCAGAGACAAATAGTTTGCCGCGGAGATTTTTTATTTTTATATCTTTAAACAGTTCATCATACATTCTAGGGATTACGTTTTGGCTGAAATATGTTCTACATGGTAATATGTAATTGGGGTAAGCATCTTTATTCTATTCATTAAACCCCTTATCTTCAAGAATAGAAAATGGCTGAATATCCAATGTGATAAGTTTTTCTATTATTTTATGGATTCGAATAGATCTGTGGTCACTTTGTACTGTATTGGAGGTTGAAGCAACTGAGGCTTCAGAAATAAACGGCAATGATTGAACCTTTTTTTTTTCTTCCGCAAGTTCAAACTCTTTGGAATGCTTTAAACGCAAATGTTTTACCATTGCTGTAGTTCCATAAGACTTGAAAGATTTTCCTCCTCTCGTAACTAAACTATCACATAGTTTGCACTTACTCATATGAGGAGTCGTGCTTATATCAAAGAACTTCCACGCTATACTTTTTTTTGTCATAATTTTTCTTTTAAATAAAATTTCTATAAAGATAGTGAAACTAGTTTTGATATCAAAGTTTTCGTTTATTTTATATAAAACGATAATTTTTTGATAATACGCTCGAAATTAAAATATGAAAAATGTGTAAAATATTTACTTTACATCTCTATTTTTATGATTTTTGCTCGATACGAATGAAAAGTGGTATCAGCGTTCGAAAAAGTTATGAAAAAGTGCTATCAGCGTTCGAAAAAGTTATGAAAAAGTGCTATTAGCGTTCGAAAGCGTTATAAGCGTTTCATTCAAAACTAAATTGCTAAAAATTATCTTGTGTTCTAGCAGAATAACAAGAAGCTATTCTAAAACTTTTTTTCCCATTCTTTTTATTCTTATTCTCGAATTAATTCATTTAGCGTTATACAGTTTTTGCATCCGTATAAATTTTTTTGAAAAAATGTGTTAAAAGATATTTTAAGTGAGATTGTTTTAAGTTAATAGAACTTTGTGGTTATCGACTACATAACACTCTTAGACTTATATCAAGAAGTTTAATGGTTAAAGTTTAAACTAAAGGAAAAATTAATTTGAAGATACCCGGTGCCGGGTACTGCAACAAAATGGCCGATACCGGGTACTCGGTAAAACAGTTAAATAGCCGGCTCCCCGGGTCCGAACCGGGTACCCAACACATCACTAATATTAGTTACAATATGTAAAGTCTTACGCAGTCTTAAAGTCTTAAAGTATTACGCAAGATACACATAAGCATTGTCATTTTTATGCGCAAATATTTTAAATATTATTGTGATAAATTTTTTTTTTTTCTAGTTGTATTAAATTAGTGCGTGTGAGTATTTTTTTAAATTGTTTTTTAGATATACATATAAATCCGATTTTTCTCATGTTGTAGATTTTTTTAGTTCAAATTTTGATTCATCATGTGAACTAGAACAATTCTATGTAATTATCATTATTAGGACATTGTTATCCGAATTACTTCGATTTAAAAATTGTATCTTAAAATTTTATTAAAATTTCATATTATATAAAAACATACTTCTTTTTTAAACAACGCTCCGCGATGGATCCGCCCCTGGGTTATACTATTACTAAATTTATTTGTTCCTAGCAATCTAGGAACAAATAAATTTTTTTATAATGTAACCCATAAAAGACCTAGTAATTGTGAATAATGCACTGCATTATATTGTAATTTTTATGGGTGGGGCTCACCACCCCGGGTGTTATCCACTTTTGGGTGACACCCAATTTATTAATATCTTATATTTTATTTTGGTTTATAATTAAACAGTCTTACATAAAAAAATAAGTGGGTATTTATTTACAAGACTTACGAAATACTGAATGCTGAAAGATATACCCAGTGGGAAAAAAGACGTCGAAAAGACGTCTTTAAAAGTCTTATTTACGACGTCTTTAACACGTCTTTTTTTAATCGATTATGCAAATCTAAAAGACATCTTTTTTTATACATCGAAAAGACGTCTTTTTTATCTTAATCTTGTCATAAAAAGACTTAAAAGTGCGTCTTTAAAACGCCTTTATTCTAGTCAAATATGCAAATCTAAAAAAGTGTTTTTTCTCGGCTTTTTACCATACTTATTAGTATACTATAGTGTCTTATACACTTTAGTATTCCTACTTTTCTTATATGAAAAGCTATTTTTTTCAAAGGAAAAATATAATAGCTCTTCATACAAAGTATGACAAAAAGCTTTTTCCGATGCCGAGAAAAAATCCTTTTTTAAATGTCAATATAAAAGTGGAAGCATTTTCTACATCTTTTATATGTTTAAATATAGGAAAATAATTTATAAATAAAACAATAGTATTGTTCAACAGAATATTTTTCATCTTTCTCTTTATTTTCTGTTTCTTGAGCGAGCTCTGATTCTTGGCGTTGTTGAATAAAATTAACAATTTCACGTCGAGAAATCCTTTCACTTCTAAAAAATGAGTGAACATAAAAAACAGTCTATTGTTTAAATGTAATACAAAAAAAGCAAACGAAACTTGATTAGCTGAGTCGAGCACATTTTACCTACCGACTATTAATTCAAAAAGGGCTGATCCTTTTAATCCACTCATGTTATTTGAGCGCGGTCCCTTCTTTTTGAACCCACTACGTTAGATTGGGACAGGAGTTAAACGGTAAACAGTCTAAAAATGTATAAAAATGAGTGTGCTAAATAAATTTACAACCATCAAAATGACTGTACAACGATGTATTTTATTATGTAGTACTTAAATCAAGCTAAACATTTGCACCTCTCAGATTTGCTATGAAACCAAGTTATTGAAAACAGATATTGATATTTTTCTGTCTTATATAACATGATTTTTTAATTGAATTTCGCTGAAATTAAGTGTTGTAGACTCATAACAATTTAAAAATCCCTTATTGACTTAAGACTATCAAAACAAAAAGTTAATTCAGTTAATACACCTTGAGAATTGTTATTTATTTAAATTAAAAAAAAGTATTAGTCAAAGCTCTATTTTAGCCTGAAACATAATGATGCTTTACTTAACAACATAAAATCATAAAAACTGGCAATATCATTAGCAACACAGATGAAATACACATAAACAAAAATGAAGACTAGAAAGCTGCAATGATGTTTAGATATAAGAAAGTGTACCTTTCCAGTATCATTTTCATTTGGTTTTTTGTATTCAAACAAAAAATTTTGCGAACATTTCTAAAGATAAATCTGTTGTCACTATGTGTATTTTTATAATTGCTTATTAATGATAGACAACAGTTAACAAGGAAATAACATATTTAACATAAAAGTTGAAGAGCTAATCTTTTGTATAAACAATTTCATTATTCAACTAAATAAAAACAACAAAATTATTCATGTCATTTAAAAATATATAATAAAAAAAATTGCAAGCCTACTGAATGCTTCTTTTTTTCTATTGTTCGTTTCACTTGCACTTAAACAAGTAAATATAGAGAGAAATTGTTTACAGGTATTATTTTCGTCTGAAAATAAATATTTTATTTTAATATGTAATAAACAACGTTCTTCAAGCACAATATATTAAAAAATTAGTCTAATAATATATGGTTAAACTTTTTTTAAACACTTACCTGTGACTAACTTAATTGAGACTAGATCATATCGATACCATCTTACTGGCACCACGCCATCCGCTTTTGTTTCTTCCGACTAACATTTATTGTTAAGCAGCTGCAATTGTCTATTTATTTCAGTATATATATATATATATATATATATATATATATATATATATATATATATATATATATATATATATATATATATATATATATATATATATATATATATATATATATATATATATATATACACTATAATATATATATATGCATTTATATTATGTATACTTTACATAATATATTACTTTATTATATAAATTATTACCCGCTTACCAAAAAAAGTTAATTTTTAATTAAATTTCCCATGCAAAAACGTTTCACATAAAAGTTATACAAAAGTATTTTGTAAACAAAAAACGGGCCAATCAGAACGTAACAAAGATATCGTAACAAAACGTAACAAACGTAACGTAAACGTAACGTAAAGAACGTAAAAAAAATTTTGTAAATAAATACTATTTTATAAAAAAAAAAAAACGTAACGTAAACGTAAACGTAACGAACGTAACAAAAATTTTGTAAATAAATACTATTTTATAAAAAAAACAAAAAAAAACAAAGATATCGTAATTACGATACTGTGGGTTAAAACCCATTTTTTTTAGGTTCTATTGGCAATAATTATTTTTAATTTTCTTTAGCAAATAATGACTTCCTTATTAACAACCGATTGACTTCTTTTTGACATATTTTTTGAAGACGTCTTTTTAAAAGACGTCTTTCCACGTCTTTATTTTGGCTGATTATAAAAAGACATAACAAGTCATAAAAAAGACCCCTTTTATTCGTCTAAAGATGTCTTTCTTCCCACTGGTTAGTTATCATTATTTAGAAAATATAATCGCTTAGCTTTCTTTCTTTCAGTAGGTTTGCTATTTTATTATTATACTTTACTATCAAATCAAATCCAGGTACTACTGTTTTTATAAGCATATAAAAGAATAAAGCTGATTTTAGACGATTTTAGATGATAATAATTTGTTATCGTCTAAAACAGAGATAATAGTTATTTGGCAACAATTTATTTTTTCAAATAATTATTTTCTCTGTTATAGACGAGAATTATTTATAGAGAGTTATATACACTAAATTATTATTGTCAAAAACAAGGTTTAAAGTTACATGTGTCAACGTTTCTAAATACTGTTTTAAGAATTTCTTTTATAAAAATAATTACATATAATATATGGGTGACACCCTATTTGCCGCCCCGGGTGACACCATAACTAGGAACGCCACTGCAGTAAACCATAAACATTTAGCCTCTGAAAGAACTCATTTCCAGACACTCAAATAATACAAATTAATCAGAATTTTTGAATTTTAAAAATTTTTTTAATTTAAACTTTGGTATGGTCTTTCAATCTCTTTTGCTAGAATTTTATAATGTAACAATATAAAAATATAATTAATATCAATTTTAGTGTACTATACCAATTAGATAACCGGTAAATATCCTTAAAAAAATATGTATATTTATAAATATGTCTCCTTTAATAAATCAAATGAAACTTCATGGTAAGAGCTTAAAACATTATTCGGAAAACTTTCGTATTCGAACGAGTTTATGCTAAATAAGTTATCAGATTTGTTACGTCTATTTATGTGGCCAATGTTTGTATTGCATTTTTTTGGTACTAGTTTTGAAGAGCTAACAATATACTTGTAAGTAGGTAAACTTTCATTTGCGTTTTGATCAAAGGATGTTAAACTTAAATTTCTGTTTGTTTGATATGGTAATGAAATGTTGACGTTAAGTAAATCATTTTGCGTGGAATAATAAAGAAGACATTTTGAATTTGTAATTTTTTTGCTTTGGTTATGTTCTTTATTTGTGTTGGGTAAC